TGTACTATTCCTTTAAGAGGATGGAAACTGGCTGATAGCAGGATGCAACTTTCTGGTAAATCCCTTTCTAATGTAAAAAACGACAGATTACTGGATTAAGGACATTTTTAGTATACAGCATGACATCACACAAACTATTTTTGAAAATTTGGAAACAGTCGCTCTTTATTTCCCAAAGATATGGGAGGAGGAGGGGAGAGAATGGAGATTTCAGCTGCTTGAAATAATCCAATAATTATATCAGGTGGCTGAAATATGATTCCCCTCTCATAACTTTGGCAAATAACGATCAAATGTCACAAAATCCACCGATTTTGTTGTTGCACGCCAAAAAATCTAAATCTAGATAAGTCTTTTTTTTCTTAAAATAAGTGAATTTGTTCTTGATTTGAGGAGCTAAAAGAGACATTTTGCCAATGGAACAAGACAATTTACACTTAAAATAAGAAAACACAAATAAATTGTCTTATTGCAAGTGCATATTATCTAATTATCTTATTTTAAGAGTAAAATTACTCATTCCATTGGCAAACTAACTCCTTTACCTACTCAAATTAAGGATGAATACACTTAATTTAAGAAATGTTTACTTATTTCTAGATCGTTTTTGCAGTGAAGAGAGAAATAAACACAGTTAAAAACTTGCAGGTAAATTAAATTCTTTCCATGTTATGGAGGGGGAATTGTTATGTCTAATAGCATGCAATATACTAGGAATTTCTTTAATCTCATAATCTGTGATATTTTAAATTAGAATGGGATTTAGCAAACAGTCTACACTCTCATCCTCACACTCAGGGCTGAGCCCCTGGTCTCCTAGATCCTCTGCATGTGACTAGGGAAGGTATTTTTAACCAGATTGTTGAATTCTGGTCTTTAATGACTGAACCTGGAAGCGACGGCCTTCCTCTCAGCGTACCTGTTGGTCTTCCAGATGTGGATGGTCTCCGGGTCGCTGATGCTGTGATGTCCCGCCTGGTCGTCCAGCAGGTCGAAGAAATATTTGACAGCCAGGGGGACGGGGCGGCTGGTGCTGAGGATCACTGTGAAAAGATCGTCCACAAACTTCTGCAGCGTCCCCTGGGTGACAGGAGGAGGGAGCAAGTGTGAGTCCAGCAGGGGGCGCTGTCCCTGGTTCAGCTCATGGGGGACGCCTACCTTCATAGAGAGCAGGCGGGTGAGGTAGATCTCTGGGATGGCCTTGGCTCGCTCCCTCTCCCTCAGGCTGCCTCTGCGGTGTTTGGGAAGCTCCGGCTCCTCGCTGGCCTTCACCAGATGCCAGAGCTTCACGCCTCCTTCGTCTGCGTCCTCCAGCATGGGAGTCTCTGTTGAACGAGGGTGACCCAAAGATTAGCGACGCTTTGCTGCCGCTCCGCCTCCAGAGCAGCCAGTGGATGGAGGAACTCACTCTCCCCAGCGATGTAATCATGGTTGTCATGGTGAATGTTCTTGCTGTGTCGCGGCACCAGCGCCACCGATGCACCGTCGGGGACCTGAAACGACAAAACGGCGGTCAGATCAGTGGTGTCCAGGCTGCAGAGGGAGCGCCAGGCCGGCGGGCGTCACCTTGTAGTGCTGCAGCGTGTTGAGGCGCTTCCAGCTGCCCTGGACCACAGACGTCAGGTCCTCGTCTGACAGGATGAGATGGCCGGCGACACCAGACCTCCACTCTGAGCGGGAGCAACAGAAACATGGCGAACAACATCAGCTGCTTCCTCCTGGACGGTGAAGGAACTCTGCCTGTAGCCCACATTTGACCTCTGACCCCAACCCCCCCCATAAAGGTCCAACCTATATCAGGGTGTTTAAAGGAGCAATGCGGACATTAAAAAGGTCAGATTGAGATTTTCTTTCCCTCTATCAGCTGTCTGACGTTTAAAGGAGAAGTCGATGAAAGGGGCTGAACTGGAGTCTGATCCACCACAGTAATCATGGTTCAGCTCAGCTTTTTAATCCTCTCTGGCTGTTTTTCATCCATCATGGCGGACAGCAGCCCTTAGGACTAAATCTGGACGCCACTGATCTACAGATTTAATGACGTTCCACAGATGAGAGAAACTCAGAGCAGATATTATTAGTAGTTTATCATCTTATTAAGGTGTTAGTTGTTCAGTAGTTCTAGTTTCTAATAGATTCAACCTTTAACCTCTATTCTATCGAGAAAGAGAGAGGAGAATCAAGACTCTCCTCATTTCTTTTTTATTTAATTTTTAAATAAGAAATAATAATTATAATAAATGTCCTTATTGTTTTTTGTTATTTCCAGGTTGTGTAGAATCTATAG